GTTTTGGGTCGTAGAATAAATTCATATTGCCAAAATATAGATACGTAAATATTGTTCTGAATAATAATAAAGAAAACTGAATAACTTTTGCCAGAAAAAAACTTGAATTGAAATCGGATTCGGTACTCAAGATTATCCCACTCACCTTTTGTTTTTCCTCGCTATTTCCATTCATCAAAGTTTTAGACAAATATAAAGTCAAATATTACTGTATATATATATATAGGTATGTGTCAAACAAATTCGCAAATACTTACGAAGCTTCTCCTATCTGGGATTTAAGCTATTTAATATCTATTTCTTGTTCAAAAATTTTATTAGACATAACACGCAGTAATTCTTCAATCTTAATAATATGATCAAGTTGCTGCTGTTGCGAAGCAATGATCGATTCAAATGAAGTAAGACTGGCTATTTTAATGGATTGGTCTTCAACAGTTGCGGTGAGTGTAGCATTTATCGAAAAGAGTAATTTATTGGAAATTCTGAGGTTAAGTAACTTTAAAACAGTATAGAAAGTATTTATTGCGATTTGTCAAATTCTGGATCCTATATACAGTATAACCTCGATATAACGAAGCTCTGGAGCTGAGGTGTTTAGTTCGATATATCAAGGCTTCGGTCCACTGAGGTACCTTGCTATAACGAATCTATATAGTCTTATATACCTTACTATAACGAATTTATATCTTTGGTTTAAAATAATATTATATTCTAAACATATAGCTTGGGCTAGTTATATATGTATGCTGTCAAGACTTCCAATTTATCATTTATTGTTTACCAGATTCAGTTCTGCTAACAATATATATAATCAGATTTTTCATAAGCTGAATTTGATAAAAAATAAAGAATAAAATTGAAGCCCAAAAATCACATCTTCCTTGGGCAACACTCATTTATACAATTTATTGTAAAAGTGTGCTATTTAAACATTTTAAATGTTACAAATTTATGTTTCAGCCATTTTTTGAAAGCATATATAAATATTAATTTTATCACACGAAAAATATAAAATATAAACTAGAGCATCAATATCAACACAAATATAAATATGATCGTACATAATCACATATGTATATGCATTTATTATGAATTGTTAAATAGTCTTTCAATATGTGATACATATAATTAAAATACAGTAAATGGTATCCAAATTAAATATACTATACTGTATGCAAACATAAATATAAGAATTATGTTATCTAATAGCATATAAATAAAACTACTGAGATAATATACAATATCTTTTAAGAAGAAATTTCAAAGTCAATAGTTTCATCTTGCGCGCAGCTAAAAGTTGGTAATTAAAGAGTCACTTAAGAAGATTTCTCTATATATTATATATTTAATTTACCTTAGACACAATGTTTTGTTCCATTATACATCTTAACAGGGTATGAATACCATAAACTCTTCTTTGTAAGGTAAGTCTAATATTCGTTTGTGTTTCCTCCTATTATTAAATAGCAGAATTGATAGTTAGCCTATATTAACTAAATTTTAAAAAACATTAAATATTAATACTGTAATTCTTACTTGTTTGAGTCTATTATGATGAGAAAGAACAGGTAAGATCTCAGTTTTTATAGACTTAGATTCATAGCGAGAAGTTTCATTAATGTCATAAGAATTTATAGCTACTGCTGCGATTGTGGTGGGAGAGTCTGTAACTACAGTGGAAAACTTTGGGTTTAATAAGGTTAGCTTATTCTCATGTGAAGAAATAGTTATTAGATTATAAAACAAAAATATCTACCATTTTTTAATCAGTAATTTAGGTACAGTATTAATAAAAAGCTAAATTGAATATAGATGAATAATTTAATTACTGTAATTAACAGTAATACGAATATCAGTTGATCTCTTTGTTCTAACTAATAAACTCCCTAAGTCATTACTTTAAATCAATTAGTTAACAATTAAGATAATATCACGAAGTCAAATAGAAAATTCTTAATAAAAACACTTCATTCCTTTTTTTTTTTTAAAAAAAAAAGAAAATTTAGAGCCGTTTAAGTACTGTATTTTTAAAGTAAATGTAAGTAATTTATATTATAGGAATTTGATCAAAATATACTAAATAATCTTATCTAAAAAAAGCTGATGCTATAAATTTGAAAGCTACTATAAATCAAATTTTTAGTTTACATATATTCATAATCTTTAATAACAATGATATATCCTCTATAAATTAATACATTCATTTAACCTACACCTTTTAAACACCTTCTAAAACAATATGAGCAGTATTACTTATCACTAAAAAAATTCTCTAGATTTGATTGCTTCTTTTGTTGAGTAATCAAGTATGAAATGTGTTTTTTAAGTGAGTTGATAACTTTTGAATCATTATTTTCAATGTGTAAGGCTTCTGGTGAATTCAACAATAATAGCTTTATATTCTCCAAACTTTCTAATACTGTTTTAAGTGGAATTTGAATTAAGGGCTCACTTGTATCATCATCATCATCATCTTGAAAAGTGGCTAAAATTTCTTGGTTTGAAGGTATTTCAGTTATAGATAGGTTATTGTCAATTTTTATATATTCTGAGGCAGATAAAAGATCATTTTTATAATTGGAAGTTGTTTAATAAGATAAACAACTTCATTTTCATCATCCAGATATTTATCATATAATGAAGTATCTTCTTGAGGTAGGTCATTATAATCTAATTCAACTGTAAGTATTTTTGTTTTACGCCAACAGTTTTTAATTGTCTTATATGATACTTTATCCTATACTGATGCACAATATTCAATTGTTTCCTTTATATTAACTGGTTCTACTTCAGTTTGATTGTTATATGCAAATTCATATGCGTATAACTGGTTTTGAATAAGAAGATGTCTGTATTTGGTCTAAAAAAAAAAAAAAAAAAAAAAAAATTAATATGCTGTATAGTATGTAATTCTGATTATGTAATATACTAACTTTAAAAGAATTAATGATTCCAGCATCTATCGGTTGAAGATGGGCTGTAGTTTTTGGACGTAAAAGCTCTATTTTAATATTAGTTACATTGTATTATCATCAAGAACATGGGTTGGAGCATTATCAATTAAAAGTAGTATGTGGTAATTTTGATGATGCTCATTAAATTCAAGTTATTTATATAGTGGTTCCAAATGGATCTCTGCATCCAAGCAGTCTTGTTCCCGAAATATTTAACAGGTAATTTTTTTTTATCAATATTTCAAATTGCATGTGGATTTTTATATTTATAG